TGAAAAATTGCGCCTTATCGGGACTCGAAACCGCGTTCTTCCGGCTCGTAGCATATTGCCTCAATCAACTGCGCTGCTGCGTGCCAACTTCCAATCGCATCATCATTAAATTCAGGTTGTAAAAAGGAAAGTTTACAAGGTAACATGGGAACATAGTATCCTCTACTATGGCGGGGCTGCAAATAATCGCGAAGTGGATTAAATAGTTGCAAAATAACGAATAACAGAGGATGTAGATCGTTTTTACACTATGAAGGAGCCTTGTACGTCGCCTAATAACCCGACCGCAGTCGGAGATATTGATGAAGGAAACAAGAGAGGTGAAAGAATCTGATGTTCTAGCGGGTGCTTTAAGCATAATAAGTTACGTAGTTTATAGTGCAAACATACGAAACTCCAAGATCTGTCCCTGGAGGCTGCTACTTAATCTTACTTTCTGACTGAGACGAAATATCAGCACAGAACAATATGCTGTAAAACTAGGCTGAACGGAAACTCACTGTTGTGATATGAGTTTACAGACATGCGTAAACGCCTTTAGATGAAGAATGTTACGTGTGGTCTAGTGGTCAGAGTTCCTGTCTACAGGACTAGGCTGAACGGAAACTCACTGTTGTGATATGAGTTTACAGACATGCGTAAACGCCTTTAGATGAAGAATGTTACGTGTGGTCTAGTGGTCAGAGTTCCTGTCTACAGGTTCAGAGATTCCGAGTTCGATTCCCGGAATTACCAGATTTTCGGAGAAGTAGTGGGTCTGGAACGGGGTCCACTCAGCCTCATGATGATAACTGAGGAGCTATTTCAAGGAAATAGCTGCTCTGGTCTAGAAAACTTATATTAACGGCCGTGGGTATCCGTTGCGCTGACCAGGTGACACCCCAAAAGTTTGCACTAACTTTGCCGACAAGCGGCGGTCTCTCGGTCGGTATAGTTCGCTTTCGGACTACAGGCCATGCAGTTTGTTTTTTGTTATGGTGTACGTAGCCAACGGCGCGGCATCGAACGAGAACCATTGCGCTAATGTGTACAGCAGTGGTTCCGAAGCTTTTGCATCATCTGTTGCATCATTTTTATGTTACAAGGAGTAAATATACGGGTCTCACTATTGTAGAAACACTTTTTCCAAGACGCATATATTTACAATTATGTGCATTATAACTGAACTCCAAACAAGAAGGAAATAGGACAGTGGGAAGACCAAGGTTAAGATGGGAAGAATGTGTGTGTGTGGCAGGACATAAGAATTTTGAGTGTAAAGAACTGGAGGAATGTAGCATCGAATAGAGAAGAATAGCGAGCAATTCTGAGGAAGGCCAATGTTCACAAAGGGCTGTCGTGTCAGTGATGATGATGATGATAATTGAACTCCTGTTTTCTCTTTCGTGTTTAATGCAACACACTTTTTATTTTAGATGAAACCAAACTTATATTTAACTCGCTAAAATTTCGGTTAAAATGTTCTTAAAATATAATTAAAATTTACTCTATACCTGGTTACATGTTTCGGCCTCACAGGGTCATCTTCAGGCATCACATTTTGATGGAGCCTACTGCACTGGGCTCGCTTATGTCAATAGCACTCACTGATATACTTCTTCATTATTATCAATTTTAGTTTTTCGAGAATGTCTCTTCTTTGCTATTCTCGTATTGCTACTTCACTTTACTCCTTTGCGTGTGCCGCTCCGCCTAGCGTATGTACCTTGTACTCAGTTATAATTGAAGATTATATTGTAACTTATAACGATATAGCACTACTCAGTCATTGCACTCAAGACTCCTGGCTTCTTCTTTCCACTGCAATGAACTGAGAACTGACTGACTACTCACTCATAGAATTTTCTTTTAATGCTAGTGGCGTGGGACTAAGTCCCTTGTACTGCGGCCAGTTCTGGCATATTGTACCAGCCCCAGACGATAGATGAGGGTGATTGTGGAGCAATTGGTGGAATGAAGATCGGCAGGGGAAACCGAAGTACTCGGAGAAAACCTGCCCCAGCGCCACTTTGTCCACCATAAATCCCACTTGACCAGACTCGGGATCGAACTAGGGCCGCCGCGGTGGGAAGCCAGAGAATAACCACTTGAGCTATGGCGCCCCTACTCACTCACTAACTGCACTAACTCAACACTGACTGACTTACTAACCGGCTTGCTAACTGGCTCACTCACCGTCGCAGGACTCAGTCATGTGCTATGCAGTGCAATGAATTGGTCTGGGTATGGCGCGAACTTGAGAGATACGAGCACTTTTATTGGCTTCTCACTCGTCGGAAACTTTCTAACGAGTTCACGGACTACTGCGGAATTCGGCGTTAGCTGAGTGGTTTCTAGAACAACGCAGATTTTACGAGAGGTGCGC